CATTAATAATGACTGCTCCCTTACTTTTTAGTAATAATTAAATTTTAAATTTTCACTAAGAACACCCTGAAGAACACCTTGAATAATATTGTATTAAATAATCTTACATTCTTACAGTGTGTCATACCCGTTTTGCACAGTAATAAAACACTTAAAATATAGATATTTTTAATATACCGTTTTATACCACCATGTTCCATTTCTTCCATATTCCATTCCTTTCCATCTTTCCTTCCATTCATTTCCATTCCATTCCATTATTCCTTCCTTCCATTCCCATTCCCCTCATTCTCATTCCATTCCATTCCCATTTCCATTCCCTTCCCTATTTCCATTCTCTGTTCCCCATTCCCCCGTTCCTCATCTCCTGTCCCCATTCCCCGCCCGTTCCCCATTGCCATTGCCTATTCCCTGTTCCCCCCATTCCCCGTTCCCCCTTCCCCCGTTCCCCCATTCCTCGTAACCTCGTTCCCACATTCCCGCATTCCCGTTCCCTATTTTAAAGATAGTCGCTCCTATGAAGCTACGGCACACCGAACACAGCTTTCGGACGTGATCGGATTGACATCGTTCACTTCCTGCGTATATAATTTTTACACAACGTCATTCTGTGACGTCAGAAAATGCGACCCGAATGACCGAACGACAAACAAATTGAGATTTGCTTTGGTTAGGGCCAATGGAACTGTAGATTCTAGTTACCGTCCACCGCCCGCATGTGCTTGCAACTACCGCAAGAATTTTTCATTATTCTTAATTATTTTCATTATTTGTCATTATTTTTAATTCTACGCATCGAAACTTTCATATATACATCAAATCTTCGATATAAAAAGCCGTATATCGCTGATGTATAATGGATCAGTCAGCATTTTGTTCGGTACACTCGGAAATTCGCGAGTCTGACGTGTGCAAATTCGAAAACAATGGCGCGACAAAGAAATCTTCAGGAAAGGAAATCCCTGGACAAAAGTGATGGTCGAGGTCAAAAGAAAACGATTTAGGGATCATTTTTGGTCGGAAAATAGTTAATAACAAAAATAATGAAAAATGAATAATGAAAAAAACCCGCATCAGATTTTTTAAATTCTCGGACGGTAAACAGAATCTACAGTTCCACTGGCATAAAATACATAGGTCGCGCTGGGATCTGGCACGAGTAAAAACTGTAAACGTCGTCAAGAATAGGTGGCTGCCTTCGCTTCGTTCGGCAGCAATAAGATGATCCTGAAATTGCAACAAAAATCGCAGAATGAAATGAGCTCAGGGCAATTATGAAATATTGAAAAAAGTCCAGCATCATAATTATTACAAAAGCACTTTTGTATGTATCTTTCAAATGCCAAACATGTTGTTTTTCTATTTTACATTATTTTACATAGTTAAATAACAGAATATATTGGATGAAATCTTAGAGATGCGACAAAATAATGTAGCCACCAAACCCGTTCGCATTTACGCAACTGTTCATAAAAGACATAAAATGAATGTTATAAGGGGAGGAAAATAAAATAATGTCAAAAAGCAAAACATCTTCTCAATTCCCTATCCATTGATCTCTCGTGAATGCGAGCGAGTTTAGTGTCATCTAAAGTCATATTTTATATTTAAATTTTATATGCAAGGACGCTGGAACAATTAGGCAACCATTTCTCCAATTCGACAATATTTCATTAAAAGAAATATTTCTTATAATCTCAAACGTCCATTATCACTTAGACATACTGTATCAGCCTCTAGAATAATATAAACTGAGATGGAAAGCATTCCATACGAAAAACTTGATTTTATAGCAAATTCGACTCATAATTCAAAATTAAAGTAGAAAAAAATTGAACCGCACATCTTTCAAGTACATTTTGACCTCAAGTCTGAAACATCTCCTCATGGTAAATTTGGCAAATGAAACGTTCAACTCTTTATCCTTTGAATGCAGACGAAGTAAAAATATCTGTGCTAACTTGACAAATGAGATCAATTAAGCTATACTTGCATTTTACAATCGGCCTGGGCAAACTAGGAAACATTGTTGCGGAAACATTAGTGATTCTCTATGTTTCCTCAAATGTTTCCATGTTTGCCCACCCGTGAAAACATTGTTGCGGAAACAAAATTTGCTTCCCGGGAAGCAAAAATGTTTCCTACCATTTCCAATTTAGAAACATTTGATGTTTCCCCATTATGGCTATGTTTTTCACTAATGTTTCCTAGTGTTTGCCCACTCTGGGAAACATGGCGAAACATTGGTAGGAAACAATGTTTCCGCAACAATGTTTCCTAGTTTGCCCTGGGCTTTAGATTCCTTTTATCATTCCAGCCTCCCTGAGTATACTGTGGGTTTTGCTGATTAAATGAGAGTATAATGCAGTGCATGGATTATATTGAAATAACTAATATTCAAAAATGTAAAAATGCTTTCTAACTATATTAAAACACACTTATCTTGGAAATATCCTTACACTAAACTATACTAACCTATATTACTGATTTCGTGCGTACTCAATTAATTCAATCGTGCATCAGACATTTTCAGTGGCGACCTGACCACACCAACAAGACATGCATATGCTATATGTAAACGTTTTAAGCCTGGTTTCCATAATTATGGTCGTAAAAATAGAGTTACAATCTTTCTCGACGGCCAGTTTATAATAGTTTACACCTGTAAACCACATAATTATAAATCATAAGCGTATGGAAACCAGACTTTAAAGATTTGCATTATTCAAACATTTAGAAATGTATTGTCTTCAACCTATTTAGATGCAGGTTTAATACCATGGCATGACCAGTTCTATTACCAGCCCTGGACAGTTTCTTATCATATTCTTTAAAAGCCATACTTAATTATTTAAGGTGGCTCCCTAGGGTTTCATTTCCGGGGGTTACGTTCTTCGTATATATGTAATCAAAATCTAGTAAAAATTGCCAAAATTAAACCCAAATTTCTCCCTTTTCCTTCGGTAAAATTTTTTAAAACTTTGCACAAGGAAAAATTTTTAATATCGATTTTTGACGATTTTTAAATTTTCTAAGAAATGTATCGATTTAATTTTTTTAAATTGAGGAAAAAAAGTCATTATACAAGTATTATCTTTTATGCAAAGTTTTAAAAAATTTCACCGAAGGGAATTTTTAAAATGACCTGGAAGACAAATTTTGAGCTTTATTCCAAGCATGCTGCTGCCATGACAACAGATTTTAACACAAAAGTAGCAATTTGCAATGTTCAGGAGAACATTGTCAGTGTGTCCAATAAATTTCGTCTTCATGTCATGTAAAGTGAAGAAACAGCAGTCTCCTGAATACTATACTGTAGTAAATTAAAAAACCCTAGGGAGCCACCTTAATTGACAAATAATTAACATGGTTTTACATACAACTGCACGATTGCTGCAAATTGTGTTTCGTTTTCAATTCAGGTTATCAAACTACTACGGTTTGTAAAGCTGCTGAATAGTTCAGTGAACCTCTTAATGCTTATATTATATTGGAGTATCCGCAAATGACAACAAACTACAACTCGTAGCGAGCTGTAGACAGGATTATTGGATTGCATGTTAAGATCTCGGCTAAGTGGGATGAAAAAATTCAACACAAACAGTGTTTTCAAGGATGGCTGAAATAAGAATGTCTTAAAATTAAAGCTTTGTTTAAAGATAAAAAATAATCTAGCTTTTCTTTCTCGCAGATCCTGCCTGAAGGTCATGATTTTGTCATATATAATTGCTCCTAACTCCCACCTAACCGAGACAATACCAATTACTCCAATACTTGGACCACTGGCATTTCTAAATTTAGTTGATTATATTATAAGCCAAAATAGTAAAAAAAACCCATGAATTTTCAAGCTCATTTGCTCACAACAGTAGCGAGATCATAACCTCGTCTTACCCCAGACATCCAGTCTCATTTTTCGTATGAAAAAGGTTAATTCAATTTTCAACTTAAAGGTCAATTTTCATTTAATAAAGGAGGAAAAATCTTCAATACCCGGCCTCGTCTCATCCGCCTCTGAAATAAAAGTCTTCGCGACTATACTCGAAACGTGTAAGCTGGAAATAGTTTTAACCTCACGAGTAATTTCAAAATTAGAAATTAAAATAAATTGAAGCACACAATGGGAACGTTTTCTGGTCCCGTTTTCCTCGGCATATGATAAAAGTTCAAGTGGGAAAAAGAACGCTTGTGGAAGTCGAAAGTAAAGAAGTTGTAATGAAAGAAGTAAAAACAAGAGAAAAAAAGTTGAAAATAAAGAAGTTGTAATGCATGCAGTTTTACTTGTAGTAGTTTTATATTTGCACGCATAAGGTACAAGTATATCTGCGCTAACATGCATGCTCATTGTAAGCTTACGCAAAATGCATGGCCCAAACAAACACGACCATGTTAATTATCAACTTCATGAGGTACAATACGGCCGGCAGAAACCAGCGCTGGACCTGGCGGAGTGAGAGAATTCGAAATAAAGGCGTCAATTTCCTCATTGCTTGGAATGTAAGATGACCCAAACGGCAAAGATTTAATGGAGAAGCAGTGGGGTGAACACCCTTCCCTACCTTTTGTCAAAGGAGGGGAGGGGGTGGGGGGTCCGTATATGAAGTTCATTTTTAGATCTAGAAAGGCATTTACAAAAATAGAAATAGAATTAAAGCATGATGAGATAGTAACATGATTATGAAATTGTTAAGCAAGACCACAGACTGGTGCCTTGCTGTCATAGCTCAACCAATCAGAAGCTTTTTCAATGTCGCACCATGAGCCATGGCCGCGTAACTCGATAAGCAGGCTCTACCTGAGGTTGCTGGATCCTTCCCTGCTAAATGTCAAATCTTCGCACGTATTCATCTGACCTTCGAACACTGATCAAGCCTCTAGCACGCTCTGCATGTGTTACGAACAAAGTTTTAAAACGCGTGGGGAGCAGGGAGAGGTAGAGGAATGCAACGTAATACTTTCTTCCTGTGTTCCTGTTCATCAACTCTTGAATACTACTTCTTATGCAAGAACCGCAGGAACAATTATGGAACAACAAACAGGCATACGGTGAATGGATGAAAATATACATACAGGTGTCCACAGTTGAACCTTCAACGCCATTAATTAAACACCATCAACAAGTGCACAAGTGCAGAGTATCATACCAGGACATGACTAAGTTATGCATGAGGAAGCTACAGTTAAAAGTCTACATGTCATGTGTGGTGCATTGGCAAATGTAATGTGATTATTGCTATATTGTAGACATGAACTACATTTTTTTTTTTTTTTTTTTTTTTTTTTTT